TAAAGCCATTATAATCCCTAAAAGCCATTATAACACAATAACTATATAGGTTTTATCAAAGAGTTCCTATGAACAAGACGTTATATCACAAGAATTGCAGAGGTTTTATCATCCAAAATCCCAAAAGGCCCTATTTACAAGCCATTATAACAAGAATTATACAGGTTTTTTCATCCTAAATCCTAAGAGGCCATATTTATAAGCCATTATAACACAAGAACTATATAGTTCTTGTCATCATAAATCCCAAGAGGCCATTTTTACAAGCCATAAAACACATGAATTATATAGCTCTTTTGTCCTAAAATCCCAGAGGCCTTATATATAAGCGATTATAATACGAGATCTTTATACCGTAATCAACGCAATAAGCGCCCAGGGCGCTCTCAAAATTAGAAAAAGGGAGCGCTTATTAGAATTATATTTTGAGTTGAAAGATCGTAAATTTCGTGATTTATGCTAACAGCGTGAAGTGTTTACATACGACAGATATATTTTTCAAGAATTTAATTGCCCATAAGCAAGGGTGATATAAAACACAAGTGCGTATTATACACGAATAAATAAGTTTTGTGTACAGTGATCAATCGGAAGGGGTGCCGATTGGGATTGATGACTAGCCAATATATCAGCAAATATCGCCGTGGGCACTTATTAGAGCGGGGTGCTTATTACATCGAATACGGTATAGGTTTTATCATCCCAAAAGGTCATATTTACAAGCCATTATAACAAAAGAATTGTGGATGTTTTATCATCCCAAATCCTGTAAGCCTATATGAACAAGCCATTATAACACAAGAATCTATAGGTTTTATCATCCTAAATCCCCAAAGGCCCTAATTACAAGCCATTATAACACAAGAAATATATAGGTTTTATTAACCTTAATCCCAAGAGTCAATATTTACAATCCATAATAGCACAAGAACTAAATAACAGGTAGGTTTTGTCCTCATCAATCCCAAAGGGCCATATTTACAAGTCACAATAACAAAAGAACTATATACCTGTAGGTTTTAATAATCATAAATTCCAAGAGGCCATATTTACAAGTCATAATAACACAAGAACTATTTACCGGTAGGTTTTTATAATCATAAATCCCAAGAGGCCATATTTAAAATCCATAATAGCACAAGAACTATATACAGGTAGGTTTTGTCCTCTTAAATCCCAAGAGGCCATATTTACAAGTCATAATAACACAAGAACTATATACCGGTAGGTTTTAATAATCATAAATTCCAAGAGGCCATATTTACAATCCATAATAACCAAGAACTATATACAGGTAGGTTTTGTCCTCATAAATCCCAAGAGGCCATATTTACAAGTCATAATAACACAAGAACTAAATACCGGTAGGTTTTTATAATCATAAATCCCAAGAGGCCATATTTACAAGTCATAATAACACAAGAACTATATACCGGTAGGTTTTAATAATCATAAATCCCAAGAGGCCATATTTACAATCCATAATAGCACAAGAACTATATACAGGTAGGTTTTGTCCTCATCAATCCCAAGAGGCCATATTTACAAGTCGTAATAACACAAGAACTATATACCGGTAGGTTTTAATAATCATAAATTCCAAGTGGCCATATTTACAAGTCATAATAACACAAGAACTATATACCGGTAGGTTTTTATAATCATAAATCCCAAGAGGCCATATTTACAATCCATAATAGCACAAGAACTATATACAGGTAGGTTTTGTCCTCATAAATCCCAAGAGGCCATATTAACAAGTCATAATAACACAAGAACTATATACCGGTAGGTTTTAATAATCATAAATTCCAAGAGGCCATATTTACAAGTCATAATAACACAAGAACTATATACAGGTAGGTTTTGTCCTCATAAATCCCAAGAGGCCATATTTACAATCCATAATAGCACAAGAACTATATACAGGTAGGTTTTGTCCTCATAAATCCCAAGTGGCCATATTAACAAGTCATAATAACACAAGAACTATATACCGGTAGGTTTTAATAATCATAAATCCCAAGAGGCCATATTTACAAGTCATAATAACACAAGAACTGTATACCGGTCGGTTTTTATTATCATAAATCCCAAGAGGCCATATTTACAAGTCATTATTACACAAGAACTATAAAGGTTTTATCATCCTAAATTCCAAAAGGCCATATTTACAAGCCATTATAACACAAGAACTATATAGGTTTTATCATCCTAAATTCCAAAAGTCCCTATGAACAAGCCTTTTATCACAAGAATCTATAGGTTTCATCATCCCAATCTCAAAAGGCCATATTTACAAGCCATTATAACACAAGAACTATTTGGTTGTATCATCCCAATCCCAAAAGACCACAGTTACAAGCCAGTATGACACAAGAATCTAATGGTTCATCATCCTGAATCCAAAAAGGCCATATCTAAAACACATTCTAACACAAGTATATATGGATTCCATCATCCTTAATCCCCAAAAGACATATTTACAAATGCCATTTTAGCACAAGAACTACATAGGTTTTATCATCCTAAATCCCCAAGGGCCATATTAACAAGCCATTAGAACACAAGAATTGTAGAGGTTTTATCATCCTAAATCCAATAAGGCCATATGAAGAAGCCATTGTAACACAAGAACTATACAGGTTTTATCATCCAAAATCCCTAAAAGCCATTATACTCTATAACTATACACAATTTTATCATCCTAAATCCCTAAAAGCCATATTAAAGCCATTATAATCCCTAAAAGCCATTATAACACAATAACTATATAGGTTTTATCAAAGAGTTCCTATGAACAAGACGTTATATCACAAGAATTGCAGAGGTTTTATCATCCAAAATCCCAAAAGGCCCTATTTACAAGCCATTATAACAAGAATTATACAGGTTTTTTCATCCTAAATCCTAAGAGGCCATATTTATAAGCCATTATAACACAAGAACTATATAGTTCTTGTCATCATAAATCCCAAGAGGCCATTTTTACAAGCCATAAAACACATGAATTATATAGCTCTTTTGTCCTAAAATCCCAGAGGCCTTATATATAAGCGATTATAATACGAGATCTTTATACCGTAATCAATGCAATAAGCGCCCAGGGCGCTCTCAAAATTAGAAAAAGGGAGCGCTTATTAGAATAATATTTTGAGTTGAAAGATCGTAAATTTCGTGATTTATGCTAACAGCGTGAAGTGTTTACATACGACAGATATATTTTTCAAGAATTTAATTGCCCATAAGTAAGGGTGATATAAAACACAAGTGCGTATTATACACGAATAAATAAGTTTTGTGTACAGTGATCAATCGGAAGGGGTGCCGATTGGGATTGTTCACTAGCCAATATATCAGCAAATATCGCCGTGGGCGCTTATTAGAGCGGGGTGCTTATTACATCAAATATGGTATAGGTTTTTTCATCCCAAATGGCCATATTTACAAGCCATTATAACAAAAGAATTGTGGATGTTTTATCATCCCAAATCCTGTAAGCCTATATGAACAAGCCATTATAACACAAGAATCTATAGGTTTTATCATTCTAAATCCCAAAAGGCCCTAATTACAAGCTATTATAACACAAGAAATATATAGGTTTTATTAACCTTAATCCCAAGAGGCCATATTTACAATCCATAATAGCACAAGAACTATATACAGGTAGGTTTTGTCCTCATCAATCCCAAGAGGCCATATTTACAAGTCATAATAACACAAGAACTATATACCGGTAGGTTTTAATAATCATAAATTCCAAGAGGCCATATTTTCAAGTCATAATAACACAAGAACTATACACCGGTAGGTTTTTATAATCATAAATCCCAAGAGGCCATATTTACAATCCATAATAGCACAAGAACTATATACAGGTAGGTTTTGTCCTCATAAATCCCAAGAGGCCATATTAACAAGTCATTATAACACAAGAACTATATACCGGTAGGTTTTTATAATCATAAATACCAAGAGGCCATATTTACAAGCCATAATAAAACTATTACTACACAGCACGTTGTAGTGTGAAAAGAAACAATGCAACCATATCTAGAAGATATTATGATTCTAGAACTACAAAGGTATAAGATAAACAAAAAACAAGTAATATTTATTTAGAAGCTATTTTGACACTAGAACTACACAATTTCGAGAAGAAATAAAATACTACATTTACAAGGTATTTTGATACTTTGAACTACACAGGTTTTAGAAAAGAAAAATAAATTTATGACACTTTAACAATATCAGGATTCAGCAAAACAGTGATGCAAATTACAATCTGTAAATGATACTAAAAGCTTATGATAAAGATTTTTCAGCAAAACAGTGATGCAAATTACAATCTGTAATGATACTAAAAGCTTATGATAAAGATTTTAAGTTAATAATAGATCCAATCAATCAAATCATATCTATTTGTAGAGACAATTTGAAGAAGAACAAATGATACCATATTTAAAAGGAGAATGAGTGAGTATGGTTTTACACCACTTTAGCAATATTCTAGCAATATCACAAGGGGTGGGGGACACCAGAAATGGGCATCAGACTTTTTACCCATGTCTCGAATCCAAGCCCGGTTGAGCAAATGTTTTAACCACAAGGCTACCTAGTCCCCCCAACACACTTCTTGATACCCTGCCTGTCACTCGGCATTAAGGGACTAAAATTGGGGTACATGTATTTTGAAATTGGCATTAATCAGACCACGCACCCACGCACGCACGCACGCAAAGACACTGTTGTACATATAGTTTTCCCATGAATATTCTGTAAAGGGGAAAGGTACATAAATACTGTCTAAAATCTGATTAACAAATTAAATTGAACCACAACATTACTTGTTTGATAGGCAACTTGTTTGAAGTTGGCGGATGACAAGATAGACACAATTTTATGGATAACAACTTCTTTAATACTGTAAAAAGCGACGTTTCGGTATAGATCCATATACCGTTGTCAAGCAAGACTGAATGAGGGACATAGTGCAGAATATATATAGCAAGTGGAGGATTAACAGTAGAGGATTAACAGTAACAACAAGGGCATACATGAGTGGGATAACATAGGTAGGTGTGACAACAAGGATGATGCTATCACAACACGATGGACAGAAACCACATAGCACAACATTACTATTTCCTCCTGTAAAATACAATATTCCTGTACTAAAAATGAATATAATAATACATGTATCATCAACAAAATAGCAATACAAAGTATCCATTCTTTGAAATCGGTAAAAAACAGCCATATCTTTAGCAAGCTTTACAAAAATTAAAGGATCAAACATTTCCTTTGAATTTGCAGGGAGAGCGTTAAGGTGTCACTGAACATAGCAATATATATAAAACAACAAACTACAGTGTGTGAATTGACAATGTTATATTCAGTAGAGTGTATGAAGATCGGCTGTAAGGTGTCCTGCTGTCTGAAGAAAACTGCCACCCTATACAAAGTCGACACTGTTCTGCTGTCTGAAACGACTGGATCATCAGTGTACCATCCAGTCACTCTGTCAACAGATCCTACCTGTGAATAAGAAACACAACCCCTGTCTGAATGTCTGTGTATTACTACTAGCCATCATGCTGCTGGTGAAACATACTGTCACATGTACTGTACAAACACAACCAGCGTCTCAGTGTGTGTGTATTTTAACCATACAAGCAGAATTTCCTGCGATTACATCATTGCCATAATCCAGTATTTTTGTATCATTTACACAAAAATTCCTTTAGATTTTCAATATCCTCTTCACCGTCAGCTGACATTAATTAGTTGTGTGGATAATATATAGTTTTCTTCCACCATTGTTCTGTACATGGACCACACAGGAAAATCTAAGACAACATCTGAAACAAAATTGATTCTGAGTGATTCTTAAGAATCTCTTTTTCCGTTTGTTAAGTTGAACTTAGTATTTAGTTACGTGTGGTTGGGACGATGGAGTCTCCCTCTCCACTGGCGTATATTTTTTAATTAAATGCTGCAAGTACAAGATCTCTGAGGTCAGATGCTCTTTGCATGCTCAAAAGAGACGTCCAAATCTGTTACTCTCTCTATCTGACTATCCTGATCACTGACGATCCGTGTATGGTTAAACAGTTGGTAACTGTTTGATTCTAACCTTATTCAAGACCAAGACCAGTGATGTGACAGGTTGGCATGTATGGCACATGCAGTTAGGTATGTATCTTCTAGTCGTTCCTTTTCCAGTGCCGCACAGTCGAAGTCAAGAGTCCACACAGTGTTTGTGAAAACTTGTCTTCGAGTAATATTGAGACACACGTTCTTTTCTGACAAAATCAGAGTAAGTGGCCAAGAACCAATCAACGACTCCAGGACATATCAGACACAGACACTATTCCATCCCTGCTCTGAAGAAAATGGTATATCATTCTGCTAGACTTCTATGTCCTGTACACACATTAAATTTTTATCTGGAGGCAACAGAGCCACTTAGCAGACAAAAAAAATGTCTCTACATATCCTGTTGGACAAAAATGTTCTGGACAAAAGACATGACTAAAGCAATAGTTGCAGGATGGCTATAAAGACTGCTATAATTGATAGTTTCCATCATGTACAACTTCCAACTACAGTAGTCGAAGCAGTGACAGCTCATGAGATCAGAGCCTTGTCAACCAGCTTAGAATCTTGGAACTCTGTATCCAAGTGGTCTCTAGTTTCCAGTGACGTCCCGTGATGTTCAGCCAGATATATACTCCCTGGGGCCTACAGTGGCTGCCCAGTAGTCTACCATCTTTGTTTTTGGTTAACAGCCGGAATAACATTATAAGATGCTGAATGATTATCAAGTCCACCAGAAGTAAAGTCATAACCAGAAGTGACTTCATTTAGAATAGGAAATGATGCCATCAGAACCAGAATGATGTGATTAACAATGGAAATGACGTAATTACTGTCAGCAGCTAGAATTACTCGTTATAAGTCATATTTGTGGCAATTTGACTATAATTTGTCAACATAATGTTTTCACAATCGAAATACATGTAGCGAGGGAAGTCCCTACGGTGACTGGTCAAATTGTTCAATACGTTAAAATATCCCGCAATAGCAATCACCTGTACCAAAGAGCTATGCTTATAGTTGTTATAAGTTTAAATATATATAGTAAAGGCTACAACTAACGTAATATATTATTCCTGATAAAACAATAATTTCAGATACAATTTCTTCCGACCATTGCATCAAAATTATTTGAAGTGGTATCATTGCATATTTTTTAACTGAATCACGGGTAGATCGGGAGAAAAAGTGTGTACAGCTGAATGTTACTTCTGGCTGAGTTTACAAGAAAATACACACAGTATCTTAATCTCTGCATAAACAGCAATGCCTATGAGAGCAAGGAATACAATTTTAATGGTAAATCATCATGTCTCGTGATGTTTTATATGTAATGACTTATTTTTATTGTCCCAGTTTGTTAAGCCTGTTTGTTCACCTGAAAAAGATGAAGGGATATGATGTGGGGTTTTTTAAAGCGCATAACAATCAATAAATATTTCTTTACACTATGAATCATAAACAATTACTATTACAGTCTTTTTCCAAACTCTGAAACATACATCATAGATCATGTTAGGTAGTTAGAGCATGTACTGTTGTGTTGGTCATCTACCCCCTATGACTCCACCTCTGTTAAGACTCAACAGCCTGAGACATTGTCAGTACCCAGAGGGCATCACTGTCCCCAGACAATGTTGACACTTTAATTTTTCTGAAAAAGAACTGAAGTTGAATTATTCAGACTGTGAAATACATTGAATATTTGCTACTGTTTGAACTTTGAAGTTTTCTGCAGTTTTGAAATTTGAAGTGTATGGGAGGGACAGTTAGAGAACGTTCCACTTTGAAAAATAATTTTGACTGTGCCAATATCATGAAGGTCCAGTCTTTACATGCTTGAAGTCTTGCAACTTAATATATGCTTGAGTACTGGAGTACTGTTATCTGTTTGTATTTTTATCGTTGCATATCGAGATACGTATGGAATCATGCCCAAAATATTGAGATATGTATCATATCGTGACCTACCAGTATCTGTATTGTTGCAGCCCTAGAGTAATCCCACCCACCTTCCCCAATTATCTGCATCAAGTTGGATACAGGAGTTTTGGAAAGAAATGAGGTTTTCCTGCCTGGCCATGTTTGCAGGCCGATGGTGGAGGAAAACTATTATCTACACAACTAATTAGGGTCAGCTGACAGCGAAGAGGACTTATGTCGAAAAGCTAAAATATTTTTATAGTCTGATGACAGCCAAAACACAGGATTATGACAATGACACCCTGCACCGTGCCCGGGGCAATAGATCCTGTGCAAGCGCCAACCCTCCTTTGTTACATCCTATAGTCCACCATTCGCACACCGTCTCTCTTCAAGTACACACGTGTTTCGCTGTATCTAATCGCTTATATATGTATATATGTATATATGTGAATACCTGTTTCAACAATATACTGTGTCGAGGTGTGCGGGGTTCTTGTGGGCTACACTGCTAGTAACAAATTAACTTGCTTACAAATTAATACTCGTGCTTAAGGCTACCTGCTTTTCAGCGGGAACCTTTCCGGGGTTACCTGCTTCTCAGTGGGAACCTTGTCTTTCCTGACTTTTCAGCCAGGGAATCGTAAAATAACATACGTTGGGGGTAAACAATTGCCACGTATATTGGCCCGGCGGCGGAAGTCGTCTTGTCAAGCGGTAGCTGACAGTTGGGTCCGCGGCGGTAGCCGCACAATGGTTTTGCTAATGGGGCCGGGCAGTGGGATCTGCTTTGGCCGGCTACCTGGGGCCGGGCAGCGGTAGTCTGACTTAGGCCAGCAGCATGGAGCTGCTTTTGGCAGCGTGGTAGTTGCCAAGCAATGGTAGCATTTAAATATGCTACCACGGGGGCCAGACAGTAGTAGCGGTCTCAGGCCAGCAGAGTTAGCTGCGAATCGCTGTTGGCCACACTAATGGCCATAGCAACGGTAGCATTTGGGTATACCTAACTAGCAGCTTAGTAGCCCCCTAGTACCTGCACACCCTCGGCCATTTAATCCAATCTCATCTTGCGTTTTATTATAGGCACGGACATCCATAGCGCGGTGGCCCGTGCCTCTACTTGGCATATCGCGGGATAATATCTACACAACTAATTAGGGTCAGCTGACAGTGAAGAGGACTTATGTCGAAAAGCTAAAATGTTTTTATAGTCTGATGACAGCCAAAACACAGGATTATGACAATGATATATCAGAGGTAGTATTCTTAGAATTACTAACAATGATAACTATTGTTTGATGTCTGAGTGTCTTGTGTATTACTACCATGCATTGTCCCAACTACTAAAACTAACTGTCACATGTACTGTAAATACACTATCTAACATATGACCGTATATGCGTCAAATCAGATATAGGTATAAGTATTTCTGTTATACATGATTAGCATGAACAATATCAGTGTGTATTTGTATGTCTTCCTGGTTATCAAACTGACAAAGAGACAAACAAAGGAGATAGTAATTATAATGAATGCGACGTTTGGTGTAGATACTAACACAATATCCCACAACACATCACTTTCTTGATAACAATGTTACTATCTACACCAAAACATCGCATTCATAGAACTATCTCCCTTGTTCATCATACCAACTTCTAAATGCCACTTAAAGAAGTGACAGAGAGATGACATTGTCACGTAGATGTACAGCTTCCAATGCTCACCTTAGTGAAGCTGCTGTTCCACCAGAGACACAATCTGGCCAGCCAACTCACATGCTTGTGTAGCATCAGCGTGAGTGTATACGTCAGCCGGGATCCGGGGGTATGCAAGTCTGTCTGGGTAGCGCAGGCGGTTGAAGTCCTGTATAACACTCTGCAGCCGGGAGGCAAGGGATGTCAGGGAAGGATTACCTAAGTATCCAGACAGGCTGGATATGTCATGAGTTCTAATCGCATCAGCTTGCCTCGAGTCCTTATTGTACAACAGGGACTTGATGGCCTTTTCAGCAGCCTGCAGATAAAGAAGTAGATGTGTTGGAAAGTGTTTTGTAAAAGAATACCACAGTGTCATGTAATTCCCATATTGAGAACTGTTTGGTCATTAAGTTTGTTATGATACACGTGTCATGACATGAGATGAGCTCAATTGTTGGGCCATGAAACAATACATGAAATAGCAGTTATGTTTATTTCAAGTAGAATCTGAGCAATAAAAATGAATTGAACTGACATTGATGTAGGTGTCATATCATCTTAAGGATAGTAATAAATCATTAAGTCTGTAATGGCTGGGGTGGGGAGGTGCAGGTTGGCAGTGGCAGTGATGTGTTGATGTGACCTTGATGTTTGCAGTTGGCTATATAAACAATGTTCTCTTTTAGTAGTATGGATACGAGAGATTTTGTGTGCGGACGTTGTAGAAGACATTCCGCGCTGGATATTTCGAACCCGATCGGAAATGGGAAAATGTTTGTTTACATATAGATTTTGAAGCAGAGTTTGTTTAGGAGGTTCTAAAATCTGTTAGTGACTTTAGCATTAAAAATTTTGAATATTGAATGTGTCTATGTTTGTGTCGTAGATTTGGTCTGTATCTGTTTGCTTGCATAGTTTTGTAAATAGTTGCCAGTTGTCCGAGGGGGGTTCTGATCTTATATAATGTTTTTTATATGTCTCACAAACAACACACCATCCGCTATTTCTGAACACATATCCTCAAGAACCAAGGCCATAACATCATGTGGGAAGCCACCGAAGTCCTGCCTACCAACAACAGGCGAAAAAGAACACTACAAGAAACCCCTGACGTCAGGAGACACCAGGCAGCCGTAAGGGGTATATATAGGAATTGTAAAGCCAATCTCTCGTGTGGCGTCGCAGTTACAGTGTGGTCTGTGTATCTTATGTTTATGTCCTGTGCATTATGGTTATGATCATTTTCTGTTGTCAGGTGTTGGCAGTCTTGCTGCAAGGCAAATGTCGTCATAGTGACAGTATGGTTCTGATCGAACCACAAAGCATGGATGGTATCTGCTACATGCATGTATCTTACAAGGCTAGTGACGCTACTGGGTTTGTAAAAGGAAAATTTCAATGCAGAGTAAAAATGTCTCTGCGAGTGTCACAGGGGAAGCCACATTGTGTGTTTGTTGCTATTTTTACCTATCAGTGCTAATTACCCCCAGCCTCCTGTTTGCCCATTGTCCTTTGCCAATTACCACTCAGTGATAATATAAGTCCTGGTCTTCATAACTGTCAACTATCAATGCTAATTAATGTTAAGTGTTGGCTTCAACAGTCTAATGCTAATTATCTATTGCTTATCACATAACAGCTCCAATTATCTGCTGACTTCCCTAGTTAAGTTTCCACCTTTTGTTATCTTATTACAGGTACATATATATGTTCTCTGCCTCACAGCATTCATTCACTTGATGAAGGAGTAAGTACATGTATATACTCTGAAATGTTGTGTTCCTCATGATAAAGAAGTTTACATCCATGAATTCTCTTCCTTAATATTCCAGCTATGTGACAGTATAAGCTGTAAATAATTAGGTCTGGGCAAGACAAATAAGCAATGGATATATTATGAGCAACCATCTATATTATCAGGGTATGAGGACACTCAACTGACCGAGTAAGTGAGTCTCATCACCGAAGTCCTTGTTCGGAGCTTACTGTTGCAGAATGCTTGAAGAATTGTGTCATAAATGCATAGAATTATAATCTAGACAATGTTTAACCTACCTGTTGACCCATGAAACAGATCCAGTTGTATGCCCTTGACAAACCCAAGGCTTCTCTCCCAGCGTCCAGATCTGCCTTGGCCTGACGCAGCCACCTCCTAGCTTCTGTTGGATGAGAATCTCCTGTAGACTGATGGTATCGATAGCTGCCTCCTCCAGAGTGATGTTGGTGAGAATGTTGATATTGCTCCTGATATGATCTATCTCTTGTAGTTCTGGCATGAAACTGGTGGAACCAGGAATAATCTGTAGAAGTACCTCCATCAGTTTCATCATGAATATCGTCAATGCTTAGTCCCTTCTCCAGTCTTACAACATAAATACCAATATACTTGCAGACCTCGTTGCAGAAATCACTTCGATCTGGATTCTTGTCAGGATGCCATTTGATATACAATCTTTTCTTCACCCTGTTCCTATCTCTCTCACCAAGCATAGCCCAGGCTTCTCTTAAAGTGTTTCGAATCTCTCTCAAAACAACCTCCAAGGCCACTGGAGCTTCAGGGGGTGAGTCTGGTGATGCATTGCTCTTTTCAATTTGCATATCCTCTTTATCTCTGAAAAACTTGTAGAGCTGAGTGGCACATACCTCCTCTGTAGTCCTATCTTTTCCTTCAATAATGTATCTCGCTAGGAAAGGAGCATCTCCCAATGTCACAACTTTCCTTATAATCACATACACCATGAAGACATCTCCAACGCCAGCTGCCACATCTCCAGGAAGGTCATCTACATCATCATCGATCAGAGGGTCATACACTTCATATCCTGCATACTCGCTTTCCTTGAAATAGGAAAAACTGTTGTCTAACATGAAGTGGAATTTCTCAGGGACGATTGTACCTGGTGGTGGAAATACAGTTCTGTACAGCTGAGAAGAGGAATAATCAAAAGCAAGGATTTTGCACTTATCTAATAATTCATGTATCATCTGTGGCTCACATTTCAGCATTCTCACAAGTGTTGCAACACCTTGTCGAAGAAGGTACCCTGTTAGGGCATTGATTTCAAAGGCCAAATTGGAATAAACAGAATCTTCATCTGTAATCAGAGCTTCTGTAGAAATGTATAGGGACACTTGATTTTCCCTCTTATCAGGTACACATGTCTGGGAACATTCACTGCCTTCAACAATACTTCCGTTGTAGATGATCATGGTTTCAAGATCCTCAACTTCAAACAGCTCAATATTTGACAAACTCTGTTCAAGTGTCTCACAGTCTGCTTTTGCCAGTGGTCTCAATTCCCGCAGGGTTGTCTCATGGTTGACAAGACGTACAAGTCCTGATATGAATTCTGGTGTCTGAAGCACATTCAGAACCTTAGATGAAATATATCCTTCACATGCTGATCCAATACATGCATCTGTCAGATTTTCTTTCATGATTTCACTTAGTATTTTAGGTCTATGTTCTGGTGGAAGTAGTGAAATGGTTTGCAAAGGATTTACCACATTAATTTCCATGTCTTTAAATCCTACAAAGAAGTTCAGTTTTAACTTTTTCACCCTTTGCCTCAACAATCTATTGTCAGAAAATACTAGTTTTGTTGACAGAGTCATGATTTTGTCATAATTTGGCAAAAATAGTGAACAGAGATCAAGACTAGTTCGAGTGTTATTACGAAGATACCTGAATAACAAGTCCATTGCAGTTTTGGCAACATGTAACTCATTTGGGTTTAATTCCTTGTTTCCAACATGGCCTTTGAGTTTCTGCAACGCACAGGCAAATGTTTTTGCTGAAGCAGTTTCTGCAGCTCCCAATTCTTGAAACACAGGGAAAAACTCACCAAAACAAAGTGGACCTGAGTAGACATAACCATCTATAACTTCATCCTTGCTAAGGCACGTAACTACTGTATCTGCAGCTACAAAGATTTTTTCTTCTGGTAAAAATACTGTGCAGCTTGCAGTCAGTCTTCCCTTCATTATATCTGAAATTCCATGCTTTTGTAAATATTCATACACAGCTTTCATCACTTTTTTCAATGATTCCACAATATTTTCACTTTGGATTGGTAGTTTTTTCTGCATCTTTGTCACCGAGGTGCAGATATTTAGTACATGTTGAACAACTGTGTTTGCTGGAGGTGTATCTGGTATCCCAAGCTGTGAAAGTACAATCTTCTTTTGGTCTCCATGTTCGAATTGAGATGGATCATCTTCCGTGCGGAACATTGTGCAACTGGTCCAGACACAATAGCAGTGCTGTGGTCCAAGTGATTCAGAATAGCACACTAGGGAGTTTGCGGCTTGAAATTGGGGGTGGAGTTTTGTCAAGACAATTCCAGTTTCATGCTCTTTGTCTACTGTATATGGCAGAAGAAATTTGATGGCCAGCACTCTATAAAGGATACCTTCGTTTATCTTGTGTTGTCTCCTACAAAGATGCTTCACAAGAATTTGAGATTTTTTTGCAACATCTTTAGAAATTCCTTCTAACCCTAATCTCTCCACTTGTTCTGCAAATGTTACAAAGTGTTCAACACTGACAACTGCTTGAAGCCCGATGAGGACAAGAAAATTATGCCAGTTATCTTTGTCGTATGGATGAGGCGGGAAGGCAGAATCAGGACACATTGTGGCAAATACAACCTCTTTTCTACTGTAAAATTCTATAGCTCTGTGAAGCTTTCCATCACTTGTTTCAATGAACGGCAAATCTTTCAACTGTTTTATCAACTGCTGTTGCTCATCACTGTAGTTTTCAGATTTCATAAGCAGGTTTTCTTTGATGAATTTGAGATGGACAGGTTTAACACTGCTTGGAAAGTGATGGAAGCCTGGTATCAATAAATCAGAGTACACTTGTGTCAGTGTCAGTGTCGGTACACTCATGTACTTGAACAGCTCATTTAGCATTTCATTGTACTTGATGAGAGTTCTCCCAGTTAGTGCACTCCAGTGGTCCAGGCCATCCTTAGGTAGCATGGATGAGGATTTCACTACATACACATCCACCACTACTGGAACCAGTTTACTTGTCACTGTAGGGAAAAATGGCAGACTCTTTAACCTTGCCATTGGGTTGGGAAAGTTTTGTGATTGGTTCAAACTGTCTAAATTCTTACAAAAATAGTACAAGAATGACTCTGCTTCCATTTCTGAAACTGATTCACATTCTGAAAAGTGCACTGTGGAGAGAGCAAAGAGAACTGCATCAGGATTTTTCCAGTTTGCCACCAATTTTTGACAAAGTTCAGCAGCTTCAAACAACTTCTCACCATAAAACATCAATTGATCAAAATGATTAATTTTCATTTTTCGCAATGCTTTAGCGCATGTCCTATCTGTGATACTGTTCAGGTCAATAAGTTTAGAGGAATCTTTGATGGTGTAGAGAAAGAACCTCAAGTTCTCACTTGTTGCAGGCAATAAACACCACAGTGATATTGGTTCCAACTGATTTCTTAACCATCCTTCACTTTGTTTGTTTTCTGAACTTTTACTGACCTCTTCTTTTAGGTATTTCCATAATTGAGCTATCCAGTGACGTGAGGGAAAATCAGGATTCTGTTCCCATGGTATCCACGATTTGCAAGAAAATATTTCGGGAACCAGGATGTCTGGAAGCATTGAGGCAAATGTTCCAATCTGCATTTCCTTCAGAGAAGATGATTGTGTGGCATGTTTCAAATAGAATTTTGTTATTTCAGGATGAAGTGCAACATCGGGTATAGATGTTAGTAAGTCAGCAAAATGTGTCACAATCAGTGGTTCACTGCTACAGAACACTCCCACCTTCGTTGAGATTGTCATTGCTAGAGGAAGACCACTGATTTCTGAGGCAAAAGAATCTGCTCTTTCGATGAACCCAGTTAGCAGTTTCACAGTTGATACTGATTTATATGGTGTTTCATCTACCCTTCTTGGCAAAATTCCGAGTGTGCATTTATCATGGCTTTCATCAGCATGTGATTTCAAAAAGTGCAGCGCTTGCTCGGGTGTTACACAGCTAACTTTGTCTGACTGTTCAGCTTCTTGAAAATGAACATAGATTCGATATGGGGCTTCAATGACCTTCATGTTGAGATCCCGCAAAATTTCACTTAGTTGTTGGGTGTTTCTCCTTGCTGCTGCCTTTTCTCTTTCATATTTCTCCTGGGATGCTGCTGGAGAATGTGACTGTCTAAAGATATGTGACCTGTCAATCTCGTAGTAAGACTCCAAGTTATTAAAATATCCTGCAAACCCCACATGTTTAGTTACCGGTACCCACATCACACTAGCTTTAATTTCACCTGTTCTGCCTTTATGATGATCACAGAATTTCCCATCTACTGGTTTTATAACACCAAATAAATCACTCTGTCTTTCTACAATGTTTGTGTAGAAACTCATGGACATAGACTTCCAGAAAATATCTGTTGCTTCTGAGATATCTGGTAAAAACAGATAATAATCATTCAGATTTTGTTGAAGATCCTTTACTTTAAGTTCTTGTGTGCAGTACATCTTGGTTTTCATTGTTTCCATTGCTGATAGATATGCTGGAATGACTATAGCCTCCACGATGTGTTTGTTCCAGTCAGACCTATAGTCTTGTGCTCCATTCCACAGGTTCCTTCTTGCTTCATGGTCCAGAGCAAAGTGCCCATTCACATGTACAGGTAAGCCAGTTGACACTGGTAGAGGTAGAATACAAAATGCTTTTCCTTCAATAGTTGATCTGGAATGGGCTGATTTAGGTGGTATCGGCACTGCAATGCCTCCTCTTGGAAGAAGACCAATGTCACCTCTTGCCCAGGATGAAGAGACAGAGACAGGAATATCTTTGTCACTGATGAATCCACTTTGATGAACAACTAGCCATTGCTGCTCCTTGCCTACAGAATCTTCTACCTGGAGTGAAAGCTTCACTTCCTTGGGTGATAATCCAGGAAGCCAAATTTGACCATCCTTTTTGTTTTCTTCAGCTTGACTTTTTATGTCTTCCATAAATTTCTTTTGTTTTTTTGCATCTGTTTCTGTCATTTTCATTTGAACTGAATATTCACTTGACAATTCTCCATCTGCTAATATGCTTGCAATCACTATTTTTTTCACATTGTGAAGAAATAGAAGTGAATGAAACATATCTTTTTTGAACTCCTCTAGAAGATTTGTTATCATGTCTGTTGTTATTTCCTTCTTTGAAATTAAGGAATCCTCAGCCATAGCTTCAGTTCTCAGGGGAAAGCGGAAGATTGTCCCTTTTTCTTGTAGTGGGACACATCCTTCAAGATATCCTTCAAAAACATCTTTATACTTCACTCTTAATTTATCTAGATCTTTTATTTTCACACCTGGCTTTTTGGATGTGGCCCATGGAACATACTTGACATGTGGATCCAGAGCGCAGATAGTTTTGCCTGTTTCAGGACCAACTGTCATGAAGGAAGGTACATCAGTCAGGTGGTAAACTGCATTGAAACCAACCCCATACTGCCCTGTTTTCAATGGGTCGTCCCCTTTACTACCTTCTCCAAGATGCTTAATGCCAGCAAAATCTTTATCTGTAAAGAAGCTGTCATTGTAGACACACAGTGCAGGACCCTGTAGAGATGGCCAATTTTCACCAAATACCTGCATTGTTGGGAGAGATCTAAAATCTTTGATGAACATCAGTACTGTGGCATCAGCATCATCAGCATTTTGTAGCAACTCCTTCATTATAGAATTGTCACAGGGGTAGCCAGATAGGATTCGCCTTATTCTTGAAGTAAGTTTTTCACTTTGCCCAAAAGATTCAATTGACGAAATATGGTCACTGAGGTCAGCCTCTCTTTTACCCTTCACTCCAAACCATTTTGCTGCCATTGGATGTATTTTAGGGTTAAGAAACTTCATGGAATCATCTTCATCAACCCAATCACAGTCATCAAAGCAAAGTGATGATGCCTTGCATAGAAAACCATGTCTGTCTGGAAGCATTATGTCTGGTATGTCACTTTGGTCACAGCAATCTGGTAAGATGTCAATCAAAACATTCATCAGTCTCTCAATACATGTCAGATTTTCATTTGACAGCTTCTCCTGGACAGTATCATCAGAGATAGATCGAACAACATGTAAAATGTCCTGCACATCAAAGTTCTCTTTCACTCCTAAAACTTCAAATAACTGTCTAAATATCTTATGAGTTGGGTTAACTTGATACAGATGAGGGGACAGATCCTGGGACAACTGAAAGGCAACCTGATGAGGTCTCACCATTTGTTCTCCAACCAATATGACACACTCCTTTCTCAGTGTTTCCAGTGTTGTGTCTCTGTGTTTGATATTATCTGCACTTTCTGTTTCTTCACAGCAACGTTTCAAGTAAGCATATATGTCAAAACACATGTCACTTAATTTCTTGAGCAATGATGGGCTTATTGTACTGTTGAACTTCTCAGCAACATTTAACAGTTGTCTTGCTGCTACATCACTATCAATTTTATCTTTGTGCCGGAGTCCAAGCAGAGCTAACACATCCTTTTCATGTTTCAAGGAGTCACTGTAACTGCAATCAATGACAAGTTCTGAACAGCCCACCAAATTCAAAACCTTGCTGACAAACATTTCACTTGCTTTAGCAAAGACCTGGTTTGGAATTTCATCTGCTTTCCATGACAATGGCCATGTTTCAGGGTGCTGCATAATAGGCAAGAAGGGAATTTCTTTCAGCTTTTGTATTGTTTCATCCGGGTACTTGGTGATACGCTGCTTGATTGATAACTCTCTACTGGAATATTCAGTCCATGAAATGTAGTCAACTATCTTCCAGCATCTTTTCACTGCATCTTGTGGTTGTATCTGGTGAAGACTAGCCACTGACTGAGCTCTCTCAAGCAGAGACTCACCTGGGAGATCATCCCTTACCATTCCTAGTTCACAGAGTTTTACTAATAGACATGGCTCCGCGAAACCTTGCAAACTAGTTCCTGTTGGAAAACATCCATCTCCATCCAAAAACATGACAGCACACTGTCCATGTGGGTGCACAAGTTGCCTCGGTAGTTTAAGCACACCATGCGGCCGTGATGGAATACACATTGTTGATTTGATCAGGTCATAGATGTTAGAATCTTCTGAGTTCAAAGCAAATTTTGTTAGTTTATCCCTGTCTTCTGTTGTCCAATACACATCACTAATGTTTGGGAAGAAAACAGTTGAAAAAAAATCAAAAGTTGATATACATCTGGATCCTAAAATATTCGAGAGATTCGAAGCTTTGAAGCTTTCTAAAATTCTGCTTGGGATATCAACTACATCTTCATCTGAACTATTCCAGAAGTGCACAGCTGCTTTGAATGCTATGTTCCCTGTAACTGCATCAGAGTGAAGCTTGGGGTCAAGAAATCTGATGCTGTGAAAACTTGTTCTCTTGACTATGTCATTATGAGAGAAAAGAAACACCTGCTCATCTTCCTGAGCAACTACTTTGTAGAAACTTCTCACCATGGGCTCTTCAGTTTGAAATGTATGTGGCCATAGCTGATAGAAAGATGATATATGAGATGTGAGGTCAACTGGAATCTCAACAAGTGCAGACACATACGATCTGCAAACTGCATCCTGATTCAATGCATGGTTCCAATCAGCTTCATGGAGCACCTTGTCGTCATCAGTCTTAGTACATAGCTGTCTTCTGTCTGATGTTAGAGCAAATGTTGCATTGATGTGGACTGGAAATGGAATATGCACTGGTAATGGCAAAAAACAGAAATAATGTCCTTGTCTGTAGAATCCTGCTGGGCATTCATTCATCTCATAAACTCCATTTCTCCCATCTTCCACCTTCAGTGGCAGGGCAACAGCTGCTAATGGGAGCAATCCTTTCAGTTTTCCAGACCGAGCAAAGCTTTCAGACTCTCTCTGACCTGTAACCCACATAATGAGCCATGGAATAATGTTCACACTGGCCACACACTTGAGCTTCCTTGTCATACCAGCATCCAATGTTTGGAGATGGATGTCAGTTCTCTCTCTGATCTTGAGACTCACACCAGTTTGTTTTTTCCACTCCTCTGCTGCATATGATAGGACACTGTGTCCAGTCAATGATGAGCCAAAAGGGGACAGGACTGTTTGGTTTTGAACTGCTCTCTTCACATGGAGAAGTAGTTCAGGATGCTTTGGGTCTCCATTGGTTGGTAGATGATAAAACTTGACAGATGAGACATTCTGTGTGAAAAGAAGAAGATTTCCAGAACTTTCTGCAAACTTTTTGAAAAATTCCCCCATCTCAGGTGCTGAATATGACAAGTCCTTTATTTCACTTACTAATGCTTGATCTTGTGTTCTCAAAGGGAACCTAAATAGTGTGCCATTACATATTGCCTCACCGGGTGTTTGTCTTCTGAACTGGCAACCAAATATCCCCTCGAATGGCTTGAACTGGCCACTCATTTTTCTTAACATTCTACGGTTTTTGACACTCTTCAAGTTGGCTCTCAATCCAGGTTTCCCCAAATGCTTCTTTTGTGGGTCAAAAATCACCATATTGTTCTCGCTGATGAAACTTGGGACATCTGTTAGATTGTAAACAGAGTTGAATCCTAATCCAAACTTGCCTACTTTGGTTGTGTCCTCTTCTTTTGTTGCTCCACTGAGTTTCTTTATGTTATTAAAGTCACTCTCTTTGAAGCTTGAATTATTATAGGCCCAAAATGCAGGGCCCTGAAGTGCAGCCATATTCTCATTCATAAGAGATGTTCTTGAATCTTGATTCTGTCTCTCATCATGCATGAAGCAAACTTCTGTAGCCCCAGCATCATCTGCATTCTGTATCAATTCCTTTGGGACTGAAAACCCATCAGTGTATTCCCGAAGCAAATTCTTAAGTCTGCGAGGCAAGGGTTCTGACTGATGATACTCCATATCAAAGTCATCAGTGTCGTCCATTACACGCTCAGTCAAGGAACAAACACTAAGCTGTTGTGCTGTATTCTCAGATATGTTGGGATGGACAAAGAATATTCCATCATCATCATCCTCTGTTTCATCAGAAGTCTGATCCTTGAGCCAATCTGCATTGCAGTAGGTACACTGTCCTACTGGAAGCAGGCAGAGGAACTCATCACTTTTCTGATGGACTGGAAGGTATACTGTGTCAGGCAGTGGTTGGAACTTTTTCACTTCATTTAGTATCTGCAGAATAAGTTTCAAGTCATTCTGTACATCAATTGGTCTCTTTGTGCTAGAAGTTTTAAAGCCATCATGCTTTTCTTTTATTTCTTCCAGGACACCAGTTAACATGTGAGGTGTCTGACTCGGGTGGCACCCACAGTCTTGAAATAATGAACTCCAGTCACTCAGCAGAGATGGCAGAGGATATCTGTATGGTTTCAGATCCAAGTCAGTGAACCCCGGTATGTAGACTGACTTAGGATACTGGAATCCTTCTTCTATTCCTACCCAGACAGATCGTGTAGATGCCATCATCTCCTGGTCTGTGTTTGACAAACTCTGGGAGTGTAGGAAGATGTAAATGCTGTTCAACAAGTCTATGAAGTGGTTATGTTCTCTACTTGTGTAGACGCTTCCCATATTTTTCAGATGCTGTATTACTTCATATGGTTCAGGATGTCTGCTCAGTCCCCAAAAATGCTGAACAGTTTCAGGCATGGCACTTGCAACAGGACTAACAGATCCAATAACAGATGAATATTTGGAACTGTACACATCATATGAACACAAAAGGGCACCACTTGAATCTCCTTTCCATGTCAAAGAAGGTGGATATGTGGCTGGTTTTCGCTGCATACATGGAATGCACTTTCGCACTTTAAGGTCAGAAAGCAACACTTTAGAGAATCGCTTCAAGTTCCATTCTAGGCAGTCAATCAGTGCTGATGCTTTCAACTTTGCATCAGAATTCATACCAGTATGAACCAATTCTTCTATTTTCTTTGCAGATGTCACAATGTCACTTTCTGAAATTTCTTTCTCTGTTTTAAGACCAATAATCTTGAGACCTTTCTTCAGTGTTTCTGTCCTTGTATGTCGCTGGTGTGGGAATTTGTCCTCTTTAGAAAACAGCTTTCTAAGGAAATCATTTTCATGGCTAAAGAGATCACACGCTCTCAAGCCAACACACCCACCTCTAGATGACAAAAAATCAATCTCTGAAACAACCTCTTTTGTGTTTTCTAAGATGGTTGGACGACTTTCCATAAGAAACTCTATAAAATCTGTGATTTGATTATCTGTATATAAATAATTTCTTTGCAACATCATGCTAAGAATCTGCTGACAGACATTAAGAAGAGGTTCTTGTGATACACCTAGCTTCTGTGCAAGGCTCTTCACTGTACGAGATGAACACTGCATGTATCTCACTGGATATGGTACTGGTATGTTTTCATCCGGTGCAAGAGTCAACTGAGATTCCACAGCACAGTCACTGTTGTCTGTAGCAGGAAATATTGCCAACTTCTTCAACACCACCATGGTCTTGTGTGATATCTGACAGTGGCCCATGTAGTCCACCAAGGCCTTTCTTTCCTGTCTCTGGGCCCTGGCGTTGAATCTCTGTACAGCTGTGTGTAGGCTAGTGTGTTCACAAACTTTCTCAAAGGCTCTCATAACACCAGCTTGTGTTGGGTATTGGATCACCTTCCCAAGGACATGTGGATTCTGAAGAACAAAGTCAGGCACATGCTTTAGATAGATAATATCTAACTTCTGCAGTGCACTACCGACATTTGATGGCAGTGATTCCATGTTGCTGATGGACTGAGCTATGAACACATTATCAAAGCAGTGTAGTTTTCCTCTCCCACAGATGTCAACATCAGGCAAGATCTGGAGTTCTCTGAGTGTGGACTGAACATTGAGCCCATGCCCTGTAATATAGTTCCACACTTGTTTCAACCAGCTGAGGTTCAAATACTGTGAAGGAAGCTCAGCATTACCTCCAGGAAAATGCAGGAGTAGACATTTGCGTAGTACCTCTGGAAACATGCCTGGAGTCATCAGTGACAGCCCAAGCACCCCTATAAGAAAGCATAACAGATTAGTGGTAAATATTCTATTCACAAATGTTATTTTTCCATTTAAGTTCATCATGACAAATTAATTATTTATCTCTCAGAAATATTCACTGTCAATTAAGTTGTTTTGGTATTATTTACATTCAAAATTAATACAATTATTATTGACAGATTCATTATTTTGAAACTATTCATTCAGGATCTGCACAATCTGGAAACCAGTGAAAAGTAATAGCTGACTGTTTTTCTGTCTCACATTGACATAATCAAAGTGAGCTCATGTCATTAGCTGTCTGTCAATGTTCAGAAGCAATGTATGTTAACTTCTGTTATTAACATATCTATATTCACACAGCATATATCATATATCCCTACAAAATAGAAAGATGTTTGTTTAAAGCTAATTCAAAACGGCCACTGAAGCAGCATATTTTAAAAAAAAATACAGCTTTCATGCTAACTCTTTTCTGAACATGCTGAGGAAATAGTGGCAATTTGTTTGGAAAAAGTTCTCTTGAGAACACTATTAGTGAGTCCATCACATTGATACCAGAACTCAAGTCTCAAATTTGTCTGTGCATTATACCCAATTAGCTCATTACTTATTTAATGTTTATTCAAAGTTATGTAATTTGACTTTGTGACTGTCTGCACTCGTGATGCCAATATACTTCATGTTAACAAGGTTAACTTGACTATCAGCCAAATATGACAATGAACAAATAGACCAAACTCAATTGAGATTTTGATTTGAACACGATGAACAAATCTGAGTGCTATCATAATTCAAGACATCACTCTTAAGTTTCAGGTTCAATCTACCTTTGATTTGGTCACAATGCTGTATTAACAATATAATTTTACATCTTGCCATAATATATCATGCCATCGTTATGTTGGGGTCTTGCCATAATATATCATGACATCGTTATGTTGGGGTCTTGCCATAATATATCATGACATCTTTATGTTGGGGTCTTGCCATAATATATCATGACATCTTTATGTTGGGGTCTTGCCATAATATATCATGACATCTTTATGTTGGGATCTTACCATAATATATCATGCAATATACTGAAAGTAAATTGATCAGCTGAAATACATCTACTATCGCTGAATATAAATGTTTTATTTGCCAATAATCATGATGATGACGTTTTGAATAATTTCAGTTTAATAGCTTGTGCAGTCTGAAGAACAAGTTAACATTTCATGTTATCAAAGTCAGAGGAACTTTTTATAGTTTTCAGTTTGGAAACAATGGCTGTGCATCCTTGTTACATCACAGCCACAATATTGATCAATGGATTCAAATTTCAAAGATGCTGAAAATCCAGATAAACCAGATATGAGGGTTTATCATATAATGGGTAGGTTTCTCGGCAGGATAAAGCCAACGGATAAAAACGATATCCGTTGGGGTCATATGCGGATAAAGATGCAAATATCAAAGGTCAAGTAGGGACTACTTTCACTGTTTATAAACAAACATGGCGTCGCCCTTGTCATTCGGCGATCGAGTCAGAATTAACCATCGGGAATCTGGATAAACTACAGGGATAATTGCTATCATTATCAAAAGAACAGTCTAATATACTGAAAATCTGTGTCTAACTGTGACGTAGCTAAGGCATTTTATAAGTTTTGTCAACTTTGGAGATATAAATTTCAAAACAATTTGGCGAGGGCACGAGGCCTAGCCAAGCGGGATCAGTAGCCATATCTGTGCTTGTAGACCTCTGCGGCTTGAAACCTCCTCCACAAATTAAAATAGTTGGATTTGGCGGAAATATGTTTGAATTGTTACCTTGTTTCGTTTTGTCGCTGTGTGTACATCTGACTACACTTCTTATTGTAATGACAGGACAGACCGACTGTCAACAACGTCTGACCGTGGCCGTGACGTCTCATAAACTAGGGTTAGAGTAGCTTCCCTTTGACAAAGGGCAGTTACTCTAGCGGACAGACCGGTGGATTGCCGCGAAAGGCAATTAAAAACAATTGTTGTTTTGCGTATATGTTGCTTCGCCACTGTTTCAGAAACAGATTTCAGTTGGAACTATATTGGCTACTGTCACTGTCCGACTGACACATCACTTACCCTGTGACGTAATAAATATTAATGCGCGCATTCCAGGAAAACTCGCAATGTTTCGGTAATGTTTGTGAGAGAGGGAAAGCGATTTTGAAGCACAGAATTAAAGAATGACATTATATGATAAAGAGGTTATCAGGCTTGTGTGTTTGGGGATGGTAAATATCCTGTATAAGAATAAACACTATGTATTTAGCTCGCCAAGGCTCACTAAATACAATGTTTATTCCTAATGCAGGATATTTACCATCCCCAAACACACTCGCGTGATAACCTCTATATATGTAAAGATGAAACACATGTTAGTGTGCAGGCAACCTAATTACTCCATAGCCAATTCCATAATGATACATGCAAAATATGCCCAAGTCACTATAATGGGTTACACTGACATTTTCAACGTGGCTGCAGTGACGACCATTTTCTAATTCAAGTCAGAGCACTCTTATGCTTAAAAAAAATATAAAAGAATTGGTTCTCAGGCAATGTTTTTTGAAAATATAGTGTGGGTGGGCGGTGTTTTGGTTTTTTTTGCTTTGGTTTTTTGGGTTTTTTTGTGGGGGGGGAGGGGGTTGTGTGTGTGTTTAAATTAATATGTAACTAATAAACAGTTGTGAAATCAATAAACAATTGTGTATGATCAACCTGGGAAAGGGCCTCCCTACATAAATGTATTCCTTGATGAGTAAAATATTTGAATACAGTATTTGACTACCGTTGGATTTTTATTTTTTTCTAAAAATGGAAATAAAAACGAAACATGCAGCGAACTTTATGATGATGCGGGCGGTGCCTGAGAACCAAGACTATTATTTTTTTTAGCCTAAAGAGAAAATTTCAAGACATCTTTCCAGTTTAAGTATCATTAATGTAGGTGAGGTGAAATTATACATGTGTGTATCCCAAACTATCAAAAGGCACCAGTTCACCACTAGATCTATCTATGTGCCAAGTTTGGTGAAGAAATATGGTACGGTTTTCAAGATCTGCTCCGGAAACGAAATGTGATGGCCAGACGGAAGGACGAAAGGACGGACGGACGGCACCCATTTCTATATCCCCCTTCCACTTTGTGGCGGGAGATAATAATAGGCTTAAATATATACATGTACTCAGCTACACCTACCATCAGATGCTCGCCTCTTCAGGAGTTGGTGTAAATCGCTAGGGAGGCATGTTGAAGCGAACTGATGATTAAGACATGGAAAGAGTTCAACTTCAGCTGGGTTGTCACAAAACACTGTATCACATGTCCCAAATTGTGCAAAGTTTCCATCAGCAACTGGTAGCAGATAAAGGCCATTCAGAAGCTCATACTGATCTGACTCGAGGAGATGTTGTACAAGAGCGAGCTTCTTCTGTCTTGGAAGGGATGTATAATTATCATCTGATCTCAGTGTTTCGCAGATAGTTTTAGCTGTGACAAAGTTTGTCTCTCTGCTAAAATGTGTTTGTAAAGCCCTCGATAGTGCTGATGGTACTGGTACAAAGTTCCTGTTGTACAAAGTAAATATATCAGCAATCAATGACCTAATCTCACTGTCCTCATCCACCAGGAAGCCTTGCTGCAGCTTTATCCACATCCCATTGTTGATAGGAGTAAACAGGAATGGTATACTGTGGTACAGCTGGTCATGGAACAGGGAGAGAAGTGGCCTCCAGTTAACATCAACATCAACAACTGCTGGTATCATTCTATAAACATCCTGCCTCATTTTGTCTGAATTTCCATGTTCAGTAGAGTATTTAATAACATGTCTCAGTAAGTTACAATACACCTCTGGCAGCACTTCACTCACAAGACACTTGTTCCACTCAATAGCCTTGTCTGTGTGGGACTGATTCTGCAGTTGATCTGCTGTTGGCCACTTGACATGTCTCCGGTTCTGACTCAAGGCAAAGAAGCCATTCACATGAGCTTGCAGCCCTGTGGGACTGTGACTCTCCAGGGGAAGAGGGAGGAAACAGAACACATGACCTTCACATGTTTTACCTACAGGAACAGCCAGACCCACATAGGGGGAGTAGGAAAGACTGGAATCACTGCACAGTTGTCTGAACTGATCACTCATGTCTCCTCCTTTGTAAAAGTTTATCACAATCCAATCCTGGGCCGATTTATCCCTTGCAACATCCTGCATTTCCACAGTCAAGTTAAGCTTCCTCTCTATTGATGATGGTGGTATTCTTCCATTTAACTGCTTCACTTCACTGATGAACCGGAGTTTCTGTTGCCTGACCAGCTGGAGACAGGCAGGAGACAGTTGAAGAGTGAAGTCAATGTTCACAGTTTCTGACAGTCTCTGGTACAACTGTATCTTCTCCATGGTCTTCAGAAACAAGAGGGTAATGGAAGCTTCTGTTTTGAAGGCCTGAAAGAGATCTGTCACCTTCTTCTCATTGTAACAGTTGTCTGACAGATCTGACGTCTTAACTCTGAGGGGGAACCAAAAGATAGTTCCTTTGTAATAACCTCTTTCAGCTACATCAGCTGTGAAGCCGAACGTCCCACTTAGGATCTGTAGGATGGTCTGCGTGGTCTCTCTAGGAAGACTGCAGAGTTTCTTCATGTAGCAGACTCTGTCCAGATTCTTCACATGGGGGTTGATGAATAACACAGTGTCCCCACTTAGGATACAGGGGAAATCTGAAAATAGATGACAATAACAATAATTGTAGAATTCAGTGTCGCCATGGTGTTGATATTCACCCATATTTGTAGTCAACTAACACTGGCACATCAGGGAATGACAATTTTATCTTATTTACCATAACAGGCACAATAAATAATTGATTTTGGGATGCTAGGCAATATGTGAGTGATTCTATAAAAGAAGTGACTGCTTTAATCACTGCCACCAAACGTTAGTTAAGGTACATGAAAATATCGAATAGAATATACCTGTACAACTGGATGATGGGGCTGTCCACCTGTACAAAACTTTAACGAGAGCAGTAGATACTGTGAGTGAGTGAGGTTTTACGCAGCTTTTAGCAATATTCCAGCAATATCATGGCTGGGGACACCAAAAAAAAGCTTCACACATTGTACCCATGTCGGGAATCAAACCCGGGTCTTTGGCATGATAAGTGAATGCTTTAACCACTATGCTACACGACCGGTCAGTAGATACTGACAATGCCCAAACATGATACAAGTCCAAAAAGCTTCATGTTTCCAGAAGAACGTTAACCATATTTCAAAAAATGTTTTTGAAGTACATATGAGTAAAAACTCCTTATCTCTGCAATAGCTAATGTGCACAAACATGGCATTGTTCTGGAGCTCTTAGTTTGTGACATCAAACTCTCTCATCATTGATCTGGTTTGTTGTATAGCAACGTAGCAATTAATGTAACAATTAGGGCAGGCACTTTTTCTCTGACATGAAAGAACAAGCAACAGAGTTGAGCAAGTTTGGGATCAACAATGTTATCATGGGACAAGATATTTCTGCTGTTATGGAAGTCCATCTGTATAAAATTGCAGTGTTCTTTCAATAACCAAGAGACAACCTGCCAACTTCCCACTTCGTTTATTCATCAGACGACAAGTGACAATCTGTAGCCAAGCCCGAGCACACATTGCACGTGCGTTACGTAACAACGTTTTCCGAACCACTGATAACATTACATGAACAACTTCTGTTTACCATCAGAATTTATCAAACAAAACCTAATATTTTACACTTTTCCCCCTTAAAAATGTACAAAAAAAACGTAACCTGAAATAATAGTACGATCTTACTGCCTTTTAATAAGCAAAGTATCCAAATCAATGTTTATCGTTGAAACACAAATGTCACACTGACCTAAAATGTGGTCAGTAGGTCAATACCTCAATCCAGTGTCAACACACGAATACACTTAACGAGGTCACTATGACAGGAATGTTACAAGGTCTGTGACCCAGGTATTTAAGATCCCAGCAGTGTTAATGTGACACTACAGTTCAATAAGACAGTCTATCTGGTTTCTTCCTCTCCCTAACTGGATATCTTCGAGTTGCTGTTTCTGTCACAGGTACAATTTCAGTCTCTGGGGGCCTTGTCCCAGGTGGAACACTCTCAACCCCGATTTCCCCAGGTAATGACCCCTTGGTACTTTCAACTGGAATCTTCTCTACCCCAGACATTGGCGCACTTTCAGACCTATCAGGGATTGTTATGTCCTCAGTAGTGGATGTTACTGATAGATCAGGCGTACCTGGCATAGTTATTAGCTGATCAACATGGCGCTTCCACTCAAAGTTCTCTACCTGAACCTTGTAAGTCACAGGACCTAATGCTTTTAGTAAAAAACCCTGGAGCCATTGTTCGGTACGACCCCTGTAGTCCCTCACAAGGACTGGGTCGCCAACTTCGCTTTCGGAGACACTTTTCTTTAAACTGAAGAAGCAAGATCTGGTCTCAGTAAGTCGAGTCGAGTACGAATACGCCTCCCCATGAACAGTTTTCTGCAGGGGTGGTTTTCGTTGTACTGTGAGGTGTGGTTCGGTAGGACAGCAGAAATCTGCACAATCATTCATAGTAGTCTTAAACGTTCTGACGAATCGTTCTGCCTCACCATTAGAGCTTGGGTGGTACGTCGAGGACAGAATATGTTTAACTCCATTTTTCTTCAGAAATGTCTTGAACTCGTGAGAGGTAAACTGTGGTCAATTGTCAGAGATTAGCTGATCGGGAAGGCCATAAGAAGAAAAGAGCTTTCTCAAAACATTTATGGTACTTATTGTTGTTGTTGATTTCATCTGAACTACTTCAGGCCATTTGGACATAGCATCCACCACAATAAGAAAGGTCTCACCCATAAAGGGGCCAGCAAAGTATACGTGAATCCGTTGATAAGGACGGGAAGGCCAGATCCAGGGATTCTGTCGGGTTGTAGGTGGGACCGGTTGTACACTTTGACAAGATGCACAGTTTCTAACCAGCTGCTCTATGTCTGTATCCAAATTAGGCCACCACATTGTTTTCATTGATAAAACTTGAATCTTTCAGCGATAACTAATGGTTTGGGATTCACATGGCTTTAAACGACATCAACCAATTCTGCATATGACTTGTCAGCGGGTTTTGCCGGTGAGACTAAAGTCCTCATGAGGGAGTAGGTTTCCTTACCTACTACGGTAAGCAATATCGCTTTCCTCTTCCCGGCATCTTCAACATCATTAGCGACGAAATACTGATTAAGTCTTTCAATATACTCAATCCAGTCTGCATTTTCAGACACTGAAAATTCCTCCATTCGACCATATGTTGAGGACACCATTTTAAACAGCACAGCGCACACTACAACAAGCGCTATCAGTCCCATTAACACAGAGCGAATGTTCGTCACCAACTTACAGATTGGTCTTCTTGGTACCACACATGTAGAATCAAACAAAACCTAATATTTTACAAATTGCTTCCATTTATTTGTATGTTTTACAATAACCCATCTCATTTATTCTTAATGGAATGTAAGAATGTGATGACAACTGCAGCAACATTCAGATGAACTCATCATAAGTATAACCCCTGACCAATAAAGTTAAGGGCAGCATCTCGATCTGTATTAACATGGTATTCTGAATATGGCCAACGCTTATTCTGAAAACAGAACAGGCAGGCCTAATGAAAGCATTTTGGTGCCCTTTACATATTGTTTTGCATTATCATTTAGACATAGTACTACAACTGCGACAGTGAAGTGCACGACAATATAGCTTTACGCATCAAAGCAACTGTACATGGAGGATAAATATGCAACTGGACATATTTTTTTTTATGTTTTAGGATATTTTCTCAATAGAAGTTATGTTTATCTAAATGTATAGATTCGTACAAAATGCTTGGACTGTGTAAGATGTGACGATGTGGTTGGCCGCAAGGAACTCTGGGTAGTAGAGTGATTGGCTTCATACGGCCGAGGCATATTTATATTGTAATCTAGGCTTTGATAAACACTGACTTCTAATATAATCTAGCTAGCAATTAGTATTTTGTAGCTCATCCATAAGAAAATCATACATGCTTTCTCTTCAATTTGCCTCTAATAAAATACATGAAGCCAGTTTACTGCACCCAGCGCTTGCGTTGTCGGCTTCACTGCGCATAGCTCGCTTGTTTTGGTTTGAGAATTGAATTGGGCATGTGACATCACACTTGGAAATTATTTCATGCATGATTTAAAAACACACAGAACCAGTGACATATTGTCCCTTTAATTATACGTTTACAATGAAATACATTATAGGTATACAATGGAATCAACCTTAAACCCAACTACTCAACAAACACAAACACAAACACAAAATAATGTCAATCTGAATATCAACTTTTTTTTATCTTGGTGATGACAGTGTCTAATAGAACAAAAGTTTCCAAAAATAAGTGATGCTACAAACACCTTCATCAATGTAAAACATAGCATTGGCTCTACTGTGAGCTATTCAAATAACATCAAGGGCGCAAATCGATAATAACATCTCATTAAAAATCCTTATGTATTCCACAATATCTATTTGGGGTTTCAGCTTGACATGACAAGAACAAGGAAATCAAAATACGAGGGTAGACTAATCCGTTGTGAGCCTCACACAGAAACCTGCTGTTGTGGACATAACATGATGTCACCGAAGTATGTCCATAAATACTTGAGTAACTTGATCAAATGTTGTCTAGGGATAACAAATCTGAAAAATCAGCAAGGGTCTGTGACCTTTGGAAAAATGGACAAACTTTGGGAACATATATAAGGTGATAAAGTACTTGCAGAAAACTGTAAATTTTACAATAAATTGTATATTAATAATACTTATCCTATCTCACACTATACATTTCTCCTTTTTTATATTAATAGGAAAAGTGCTAAAACAAAGGTTTCCAGCTTCTGAAAAACAATTCACCCGAACACAACAGACTGGGTCATGCACGCTCTTAATATCGGTTGACCTACACATGCTGAACATGTGGTTTCCACAGCCAACTCATTCTCTTTCTAGAGCTTATAGGCTAGAGGAATTGTAATGTGGGGATGGACGGGTAGGCATATAGCGTGTGAGATAGGATAAGTATAAAACATATACAATTTATTGTAAAATTGACACATTTTAAAACTTATCCTATCTCCCACTATGCATTATCCCACAGCTGGAAGATGAGCCGCAACTCCCTAGTCTAGAAAGACAACAACCAAAGGATATACACAAGGAAGCTGGAGCTCATCAGGGATATAAAACCATGTTTTATTACTTGCCCGTGAAGAGATCACCCGTTTAATTAACATACAGCTGTATTACACATTGTGTAATACCAAAACGCGTGCTCATGTACTCTCGGAAAACGTTTCACAAACAAATATTGAAAGCTCTCAACATCCCTTGGCTTATCCAACGACATTGCGTGTGGAATTGATAGATCACTGAGAGGAGCTTATGCACACTCGGTGACCCCAGCAACCTTGTTGCTAGGCTGACGTCACATGGCATTGTTTCGCCGATGGATCTTGCGACAAAATTCCACAAATTACTTCACCGGGTATTGTGACGTTATTGTAAACTTGGAGATGCAAGGCCCGTTCCACAGCGCGATCGTATTGTAGCGAAAGGACAGTCGTTAGTCTTAGTACAGTATGTGAGTTGCGAAAGTCTTAGCCCCTACG